CTCAAGTCCAGTAGATTCAACCATGACAGGAGGACAAATGGGGAGCATCCCAACGAAGAACAAAGAATTACAGGACTGTGAGAAACCGTATTACGAAGCGGTCTGGATGTAAAGTCGTGCTATCCTCTGTGATAGGAGTGCGAAAGCCGTAAGGCGTTTCCTTCGGGATACCGGCATGTCCATACTTACAGAGGAAGTATTCCCTCGAGGAGGGATGGGATTGTTAAAAAATCGGCCCTAAAGCCCGCACACTCCGGGCGCCCAACAGTTAACCGGACCGAATTACTCAATGCGGCTGAAATCCTTTTAAAAGCGAATAGTTTGGTACTGCTTAAAAGGTACCTGTTATGCGCAGCCACATCAGCAGTCGGACAGTTATGCCTTACGCCCTGTGTCCTCGAACCAGACAAGTCCCCTGCAGCAAAGTAGGTCGGACTACAGAATCATAGGCTCCAGGTAGGGTATCTCAAAAAAACCCTAACAACCGCTTCTCGTGGTTCAGAATTTCAAGTCAGAGGCTTGGGGAAGGGTGCCCGAATACACTCTATATCCTCCCGCAGCCTTGTGGTCAAGACTTTTGAGACAACGGCTCAAGGTTGGGAACTGGGAAGTATCATCCGTCTTCGTTCACTGACTCTTGCATACATTTCCTTCCCCCAATCCTTCTGACTTAATTAGCTAACACGTGTTTCGTGCTCCTTCCCAGTAAAATAAAACAAAAATTCGTTCAGCTGTAACATCCTGTCGGTGCCTAGCTGCCATGCCACCCGAAAGAGGCACGAGGGCTGGGATACTGCCAGGTCGCCCAAGCCTAGACAGAGGGAGTCGAGAGGTAGAGGTCGGGTTCGAACCACGGACCCTCTGGTCAGTAAATTAGCGCTCTAACCATTGAGCCATCTCGCATTCCAAAATAAAACAAAAATAAACCACTACTAAACTCGAGGGATCAGCTCCACATTGTTGTTTTCAAAGCGCATAGTCCGTACCAAATAGAGCGGGTAGGTCTTGCTCAGACCTGGTTCCCTCTTTCAGTCGACGTATGTTGCCTACGAAACACGCATACAGGACCCCAGTTCGGTCACACATTTCAAGTCGCTCGATACGAACCCAGGTTTCTCGCACTTCACTCTTCTGATGCCTGGTTATCATGATGCAATAGCTCGTGCTACCACCTATGGCGTGGAAGTTGTGCTTAGTTCCAGGATTGAATGAGCCTTGCTGGACTGGATTCCAGTAAATAGTCGTCTCTGCGCAGTTAGGTTGACTGGTTTGAATAAGCTCAACGCGTCTCGAGGTTGCAAACTGCGTTTGTTTGCTGTGCCCGCATACGCTCCAACAGATGGCATCTCGAAGGCTGAGAAAGACAGCTTCAACGAGATTTGTCACAGTTACACCGGTCAGCGAGAAGCACAGATATCGTGATTCTGATAGGTGATACAAATTCCCAGTTCGGTCGACTAAGTCCTGACGATGCCCATCTGCGCGGCTGATTCAGGGTTAGCAATCATCACTCACACAGTGAAGAACAACTACTTCAATTATATGCTGATATCATCTGTTTCTAGCTAGCACAAACTTTTCGGACAAGTGGTCACGCCGTGTGACTTGAGGCCATCAACTGCAAACCAATCGTGGGATGAGCTGGATTGTGGCAATCAGTTAGCGGTATAGAGCTTCGACACGAGAATGTCGTATACCACTGGACTCGGATCACGGCAATATGCCCGTTTACTACCTGCAAAGCGTCCTTGTAGCACACCAGTATCGAGCTGAGTTGGCTGGGAGGCTCCCAGAACTCAATAGGGACAATAGAAATTTAGATGAGCGCCGGTTAAATAGGCCATGCTCACGGTCTTTAAAAACGTCTGCCCGACGTCCTTCGCAAACCCCAATAAATGACGGATCAAGTCGTGACCAGTAGCTGTGATTGAATCCAGGAAAACTGTGCCAGGAACAAAAGACTGTTATGGGACGCGCAGATCCCTCAAACGCCTAATAATGAAGAACCTTAGGATTAACGGAAATCATTGATGGGTCGTTAAAGCCCTAGAGATGGGGAAAGTTTTGGGGAAAGGGGAACAATCACACTCTGTTCCGAACAACCCGATGAAGTGATCTGAGAAGGGCGGTCTTTGAAAAGGACGGGACCTCAGTCGATCCACAGAAACGTCGTCTTCAGTGATGGACTGAGCACTGTGAAGAACAGTTCACTTGGGCACACATAACCCATCCTCTGAGAGGATTAACTGAATCCGAATGGGATGTCGACAGAAGACCAGTGTGCAATTTCATAGCTTTAGTGTAACAAAAAAGTTGGACAAGACAGTGTGCAACCTGTACTCTTCAAAGAGGGTGGCAAGTCCATCTCAGCTAACCTAACGACCTTACTCGAAAATGTATGGAACGAGGAAATTCCAACAGAATGCAGCGCATCGATGGTGATTCCCTTATTCAAAAAGGATGCAAGAGCACCGTGCAAAAAATCAATGGGGTATCAGTTTGGTGGAGGGGTGGCGCAGGTTGATCCATCATCGGGAGAGTCAGATCCGCGACAATCAAACTGCGTTCCGCCCTGGCTGGGGTTGCCAAGTGTTTTAACTGCCAAATCTTCCGACGACTAACTCAGGTCTACCATCGACTACGTTGTCGTCGGACACGGTGGCACCCTGGCAATTGTGTCCGGTCTAAATTCTTGTCTCTTGTGAAGGCTTTATATGTTTCCTCCCGTGAGTGTGTACGTTTCAACTAATTCTCGCCACATTTGGTGGCAACAGGAAAGGAAGTACTCTATCGCCCCTTCTCTTCAACTTCCTAATCGATATGTTACTGGAATCCTCACCTGCCTGACACCTCGGGGATCTAAATGCTCACGGGAAGCTCGCTCATGGACAATGAGTACACCGACGTTTGTGCTCTCCTTGGAGCAGACCCTTTGAAAATGCTAAATTTTCTAAGCAACCAAATAATTCTGCTGCACAGTTCGGTATGTGCTTCGCAAGATTGGCTGGGATCAAACCCCAAATTCATGCTTGCAGGTGAGCCAATCGGTGTGGTAGATAAGTCCGCTCAACTACGCAGATGCACACGTCTCAGTGGACTGGGAAAAGACAAAATCACTTTTCTACTTGGGACGGTCAGGACAACGTTTGCTAACTTTTGACGTTCATGACGTAACATCAGCTTGACTACCAACGGCAGAATGTACATTGCTGTCGTTCAACTCGTCCTGCCTCATGGATTGGATGCTGCGTGTGGAAGACCTGCGCTTGGCCATAGCTCCCTCCGAAGCATTAAGCGGGTATGGTGAGGACATCCGAGCAGTAGGGCTAAAGTACGTCAGATGGTTTTCTGGGAAGCCCACATCCGCTCAACAGATCAGCTGAACACACTCCACAGGTTATGCTGGTTAAGCCATGTACTTCGTATGCCAAAAAAGCATCTGCTTTGCAGAGCCCTCTTCACCTGACCTTGTGCCAGATGAAGGCAACTCAAGGGTTGTCAGTCCACGACGTAGCAATGAAGCATGAAAGTCCTAACCAGTCGACTCAGTCGCACTGGTAACTGTCGTCTTCCCGGATGCGAATGTGGGGTGAGACAAACCATTGAGTATCGGCCCTGACAGATAGCTGTGGAGGTTAGAGGCGTCAACTTCTGTCTTTTCGGAATTTCTGTAATTCTGTGGTGTGCTTCACTAGCCTATTCGGGAGTTAGTTTGTTTAACTGTGAATCAGAGCAAGGTATTATTTTCTATGGCTCAAAGTGTTAGGCGGAATCCCACACCGAAAAACCTCTACTAGTCGGGCGCTGCTACGATGAAGAAGCCTATCCCGCACGCGAATGACCAGATGGGTCGCTTGCCGCTGCTACGATAAGCCTATCCCGCACGCGAATGACCAGATGGGTCGCTTGCCCGTCCAGCATTAAGTCGAGCTCTGATTGGCTGAAAGTGTGTGTGCAACAACCAATCGTGATCCAGTATCCGCCGGGTGACGGTTGCCAATGGCGCATTCCAGAATGTCGTCGCCGCATAAACCAAGAACTAAGCTACGGCACTATCTTTAATATACAAAGACTTGGATTCAAGCAGCTTTCTAATGCATCGTTCCCCGTCTCACTGAGATTCTGGCTGGATCTTCTAGAATGAGCGTTGGCAACCTAATACCGCAGCCAATAACTTGGTACCTACAGATGTTACCTCACAATTGGTAAAACCCATGTTGGTAACAATACCATCGGTCAAGACAAAATATTGATCGGATAGAGAACTCAACACTGCAAACAACCCTATGTAGCAGCACCTTTGGGGACCTTCAAAACAAGAAAACATGCTTTGAGCTGAGTCACAGTTAAGCAAACTCGCTTTCGAGTCCGCCAATGAAGCAAACCACAGAATTACAGAAACTCTGAAAAGACAACAACCGACGCCCCACAACTTTCACGAAGGAAGATGCATTCAAACGACTGAAACCTGATAAGACTATCTACATTAAGAAAACTGACAAAGGGAACATTACGACCGTAATGTACCACATGGTCGGAAAGCTGCAGAAACAACGGCGGTCCATGCAGACTGACTGACAGATATGGTCTTGTAAGACAGACAACAGCGTCCCTGTATCGAAGCTGCTGTATTCAACTCGTAATACTCTCACCTCTCGGCCTATCAGGCAAAAGAAATTATATGGCGTCAGTGAGCTGATTGGCTGTAATTTACTTGTTCGTGGTTCGTGAACCAAACAGCACCAGCTAGAGATACTCTATATTTGTCATCGTCATCATCATCGACATGAAATCAGTGTTAACACTGATGTTTTGTGCCGTACACCATGATCCATATGAAAGCCGTGTTGTGAAGAAAAGAATAAGAGTGGGGGGAATCGAATTGGGGCTAGCCCACCATAATCACTATGAGGTTTCCACACCTTCCGACTAATTCAGGGAATCTAGATGGAAACTGACAAGAACGACATCCATTAGCAGTCATTTTTTGCGGGGCCTCCAGCCAGGCGCGTGATGATGATGCAGTCCCTATCCTGGAAGGCGAGTCGCACCGACAACACCCAGACTTTTCGTAATCTCTTTCAGACCCCTCTGCCAGGTCAAGGGTTGATCACCTATCTGCCTCAGCCACTCTGGACTAAGCTCAGAAAACAGCATTCTCTTCAGGGAAACGATGGATGGCATGTGCACTACATGGCCTAAATAACACAGCTTATGTTGGTGGACACATTCTTCAATAAAAGTCCCCGTTGCACAACCGAATACTCGCTTTCTATTCGCTCAGTAACGGATTCGATAATGCCAACCCACATAAGACATGAATCTGAGACAACGGCTGTCGAAGACCTGAAAACGTCTCAGGTCCGCTGCACTAAAAAGACCAAGTATCCCTTGGTGTAGCCTGAAACACATGTCCGTTGAGACTACGGGATAAAAAGCCTTGACTTCATGTGTCTCAACTTAGCAAACGCGACCCGAGTCTTGCAGATTCGTGCATCGACCTAATCTGTCCCACAGCAATCGAAACTATTACAACTTCGAAGACAAGTAAAAAGCTCTACAACTACCAGTGACTCTCCATGGATTGTAAGTGGCGTGTTACACGATTGCAAGACCAAGAACGTGAGCATGCTGCTCCATGAGACGGCCTGCTGCAGTACATTCAGTTGCATAAAAAATCATAAACGAGAGATTCAGTTGGGTTCCAAGTGGGACCCTGAAAAGCCAAATTGGTTTGCACATGAGTGTATTTTGCTATACACAACGTCCTTTATGCCCCATTGCAATATAGCACCACAGAGACATGACACTAAAACAGCAATGTCGATTCCGGCCTGGAAAGTCGTATGGGGTCTGCCAAGTGTTGGTGGAAAGGTATATGTACAGTGACCCAAGAAACCTGAGTGTTCCCTGCATTAAAGGAAATCATCGATTATGCTCAATGATCAGTTGCTTTAAACAAGCTTATGGACCGAGGCATGCCACAGGAGTCTGCCCCTTTTAGTTACGGTTTGAAAGTGTGGATCCAACAACCAATCGTGATCCAGTATCCGCCGGGTGACGGTTGCCAATGGCGCATTCCAGAATGTCGTCGCCGCATAAACCAAGAACTAAGCTACGGCACTATCTTTAATATACAAAGACTTGGATTCAAGCCGCTTTCTAATGCATCGTTCCCCGTCTCACTGAGATTCTGGCTGGATCTTCTAGAA